ATTTTCAATAAGCGCCACTTAGTGCACTTTTATGCTGCATTGCATTTTGTCACGAAACTCAATTTAATATAGAAAATATTTTCAATTTGCTTACAATCTATATCAGAAGCAGCAATCTCACCTTCATCCAACTTTCTGGTATGCGCGCATCGTACATAGCATCTAAGGACTCCTTCAGTGCGGGACTCATTACAATTGTGCCATCAATTGCCAATTTCAAATCACACAGGCACGAATGCACTCTTTTAATAACTTTTTGCATGCGATCGATCTCTTGCCTATTAAAATTTTAATCAATTCATCAATAATTGAAAATTATTACTGAACAAAGATACTTAATAAACTGAATACGTGCATCCATGTTTCATACCGAATACCGAAGCATCGAGACTCATGTGCACATGTGTGCCTAAGGATACGTACCTAAGGAAAATGTTCATTGGCAGTAAAATGCCCATCCGCGTCAGGTTCTCACGCACCTCATATGCATTGTACTGTGCCGGTAGCTTTCGCAGCATGTCATCAGCCAATTGATATACAATACTTTCCCGTGTTTCGCCACCACCACCACCGCCCTCTTTGGGTTGTACGCTCAAAATTGTATCCAAAATGCCTGTTTTAATAAAATTAATAACAAAAGCGTCGTGTAAATTTATCAGAGTTTTGAAAATTCGCCTAATTGTTTCGTGTAGGCGTGCCTCGTTTTTATGGCGTTATAACCCAAATTTATTCTATCAACACGGTTTGTTGGATGAGGTCAATCGTGTGCACTTTGCGCCATTGAATTCAGTAGTCAAATTAAATTTGTTTAAATTAAAGCATTAGCATATTAGAGACATTAAATTTAAAGTACTAAAAAATTAATGCTTAGTAAATTAACAAATATTTAAAATAATAAAATTTATAATATAGCATGCAAACTACAACTTCTGTAAATATGAAATGGGAAATAAAAAATACATATATAACGTTATATTAGGCGAAGATTCGCGAAATTTTGGTAGTACATTTCTGATTATATTATTTTTTATTTTATTATTATTTATTGATTCAAAAAAATTCATACAGCACTTACAAAAAATTATAGAATTTTACTTAAAATCTAAATTGACAATAACATATTTGTTGTGTGTCAGATTGGCATACAAAAGAAGGTGCATAATATTAACATTATTATTTATATAAATTCTTCAATAATTAATTTTCTGTAACTCAAAACACTTTTCATAAAATTATACAGTTTATAAATATTGCTACCATTTAATAAGATTTTCACTTCTTCTTCAGACAGAAGTGCTTTATCAAAAAAACTACGCCTATGTTCTCTGAAAATTGGACATACACCAATAATATGACATATATTTTCTATTTCATGAAGATTACATATAGAACAATCACGATCAGATGTATTAAACTCTCTACCGTTCAGATTAAAAAGACCGCCTCTACATTTAAAAAGTAGGGTCGATATGTGCTGAGTGTTTTCGAAATAAAAATTATGCATAATGTCATATTCTAGCTGTGGGTACATGTCATGAGATCCCGACCTAGCATTCGTTACAAAAGAATCGTGTTCCCTCCGTTCATATAAAGTTATAATATTTTTGTGCAATAGTTTAAGGTCCATTCTCCTAAAACTGGTTATTGAAACACCCAGTTCTAAACACATATTTTCCCAATCTTTGGTCCAATATATACCTTTACTAATTATAAGTTCCGCTAATAGTCGAGGAAGCCTTGTGGGGGGGAGATTAAGAATTTTTCTTACATATGCGAAATGTATTTGTATTGTGTCTAAGAACTGCGTCGGTAAACCCGTTTCTAAGTGGAGCATATAATTGGGGGTGTTAGTGGGTGGAAATAGTATCTTTTTTATAAAAAATCTAAAAAGTTTTTCCACTTGATCGTAGTGTTTGTAACCCCAAACTTGGGCACCGTAAAATACAATCGAACGTGCTGCCGAGTAGAAAATTTTCAATTTATTTTTAAAAGTTATTTTAGGATTAGACAAATACTTTGCCCATGTCGAGTTAATTGCACTTTTACCTAAGGAGAGTTTAGAAGTCAAATGTTTATTGTAGGAAAGGTTATACGTAATTAATATTCCGAGATATTTATATTCATTGACAATTTCTACTTGCGTATCCCCAAATTTCCACGACAACGAATTACTTACTCTAGGACCTTTTCTGAAAATCATTATCTTAGATTTATCTAGATTCGCGATAAGTCCCCATTGCGAACAATACATAAATAACTCATCTATCATAATTTGCAATACATCAGGTGAATCCGCAAGTAGAACCACATCGTCAGCATACAAAAGCACTTTTATATTAGTTGAGTTAATAGGTACTCCACCCGTTAAAAAGTCATGCAGATCATTTAAGTATAGGGAGAACAAAATCGGGCTGAGCAGACATCCTTGTTTTACACCTTGAGTAACTTTAAATGAAGAAGATATAAGATTACCGTCCCTTACGCAACTGCTGGTGTTCGAGTATAATTTCATCAGTGTGCTCAAAAACTTATGAGACAAACCTAAAGAAGCTAATTTGAAAAATAAGGCATTCCTGGGTATAGTGTCAAATGCACATGAAAAATCCACAAAAAAGCATATGTTTTTTTATAGTTACTTAAATTTAATTGTATAATAGAGGTTAGATTAAAAATATTATCAACAGTTGAGTAAGATCTCCGGAATCTAGCTTGGTATTCATTTAATATATTATTGAGCTCAACCCAGCTATTCATACGCGAAAGTAGTATACCAGTAAATATTTTATATATAGAGTCCAGCAATGATAATCCACGATAATTAGTAACTATATTGGGATCTCCTTTTTTAAACATGGGTTGAATTATCGATTTTAAAAACGAAGAAGGTATGACACCGTGAAGAAATATATAATTATATAGCGTAAGTAACTCGTTAAGGAAACCAACAGTAGCATTTTTGTAGAACTCATAAGGAATACTGTCGTTACCTGAAGCTTTGTTAGATTTGGTGTTTGCAAGCACAAGCTGGAGTTCACGAAATTCAAAAGGAGAATCAAGGAAAGGATCGAGAAAAGGTGGAAGACACCAAGAGATAACTGGAAGGTCGGAATTGCATGTAAGCAGGGACTCATAGTGAATACGAAAGTCTTCACATTGTAAAGAATTAGCTACTTTGAGAGGACTGTTTTTCAAATTTTTTGCTAGATTCCACCAGTCAGAAGCATTTTTAACAGTATTAAGTGCTTCAATATTTTTTAATTGCCATTGCAGTTTTTTATTACGGCAGAGGTATGCATATCGAGATCTGAGTACAAAGTAAGAAGTACGATGGGTATCCAGATTGTATTTTCGAACTAAATTAAGAAAATGAAACATATTTTTTCTAAGTTCATGACACTGGCTATCAAACCATTCATTTTTTGGGTCAAAACGCTTTTTCAAAGTCTGGTTTCCCCACGCATCGCGAACTTTTTCAAGGAACATATCCAATTTAACATCAATCTGCATGTTAGAACTTATATAATCAGAACAAGTAGTCATTTCTAGCCGTTCTCTGTATCTACCTGCCATCGCTTCTTTCCAACGCATTTTATTCGGAACTTGTACGTTATTCGGAATTACTTCCAAACTTGATGGAAAGCGGAATTCAATAACCAGCGGCATGTGGTCAGAGTATGATTTGTAAAGAACATGTAAAGAGCTTATGTATCTAAGTAACTGAAATGAACAGATACAGAAATCAACAACAGTTGACCCATTTGGACCCACATATGTAAATTCTCCATCTTCATCACCTCGACACCTGCCGTTAATTATAACACCACCGATGTCCTCCAGAAAGCCTAGAAGTTTTCTTCCCTTGGTATCAAGTTTCACATCTTTTGATACTCTTCTTACCGCAATAAGTGGAGAATCAGATAATAAATTACCATCAACTACTTGATTATCTGCTACATGGGCATTTAAGTCGCCAACAATACAGTAAACGGGTTTATTAAAATCGTTTAAAAATTGTTCCAGCTTAGAAAAATCTTCCTCCCATTTTGTGCAATTTAAATAACGTGGAATGAAGAAACAATCAACTTTGTTAACACAAGAATATAGTACAACATTATCACCAAAGTTTAGAAATTTAAAAGAATATATCTTCTCTAAACATTTTTTATACCCATAAAGACAACCACCACTCGCTCTACCAGCATTATGAATTTTTGACGCTCCCACCCAACACAATATATAATCTTGAAAGAAATAAGTAAAGTTATTTTGGTTTTCGACCAGTACATGTGTTTCAAATAGAAAAAATATGTCATATAAGTTAACAAAAGTGAAAAAGTTTTTATGATTAAATTTACTTTTTAAATTAGCTACGTTATAAGAAAGCACCTGACACACTGGCAATTGCTAATTAGAATTCACCGGTAAGGCAACATCCACTGCAGTGTAGTCCAGGGTATTTCTTCCCGGGTTGACATCCATGAGCTGACGATTACTTATATTACTTATATTTTGTTTGACATCGCACTGAAACCTTGTTGTAGTAAGCAAGTTATTAATCATTTTCGCATCTCCTGTTGAAGCAGCAATAATTTTGTTTTCTCTCCAAGTGAAAGGTTTGTCGTTAATAAAAAGCGAGTAATCACCTAACCGAACTTTAACACCAGGATGCAGTCTTCTAAGCTCATTTGCTACTCCGCGCAGATTCTGTTTTCTGGACCGTTCATCCACTGTGAGATCTCTATTTATGTAAATATTTGTACCTTTTAATTTCGTCACAGCGGATAATATCTGTCTAGCCTGCGATTCTGATCCAAGTGTTGCAATAAAAATGCCATTACCAGGTAGTTTTTTTACAGTGCACACAGATACATTTGCTTTCAGCACGTTACTGCACAGTTTGTGAATTTCGTTTTCAGCAGACATAACTGTGTCGCACGATAAGCCTTTTACAACAATATTCTTGCGTCTACCGTCTTTATCTATATGGTCAATCTGCATTTTTAACCGGCACAATTCTTCTTGAGTGAAGTATTTTCTTGTTTTAAGCAATTGATTTCTTCTCTCAATACTTGCAGATCATCTTTCTTAGCAACGTTCTCAAGTTTGACATCCAGAACACTTGCCAAGCGCTCGTCAAAAGTGGCCCAAGAGAAAACATCTTGCGATGCTGAATTATTGTTAC